CTTTTGGTGCTATTGTTCGGTCAATGGCATCAGCCTAATTTCGTATGGTATTGGCACGTACTGATATTGCCAATATGCCGCGAGAATTTATAAAAATGAAATATTTCCATCATGTGATTTTTTTACTCATTCTTGCCAATCACAAACTAAAGACAACGAGTATCATATTTCGATTCTGATTGGTTATCGGTCTATCAGTGTTGGTGTTTTCGAAGTTTATTATAAAAATGTTTCTATTCATGAGGTAGTCTAGCAACATATTACTCTTTTCTGAATCTTGTCATCATTCTGCCTCTTTTATTATTGACACAGAATTATCTCTAAAAGTCACTTTACGCACGTGTTAGGTACACTATTTTTTCTACTAGCGTGCGGAAAAAACCCAAGTGTTAACATGATTGTTGCCTTAATAAACTTGCTCAAATCGAGGTTTTTTTTAGTTTGATTACACTTTTTAACATTGAGTACCTGGACCAAAGAGTGTTGGCTTGCATGTTTTGGAAATTTCAGCGAAATAAGCCAAAAAACGTCTTCTTCGAAACTTTTGAATCCCTTATTCTGGCACCAGTTTTCAAACAAATTATATTTCTTTCCATACCTGTGACGGGATTTTGATGGTAGTAGATCCAAGTTTGCAGTTCTAGCCGCTTCCAAAACCGAGTGCGGAAAAAAAAATTTCCGCATTCAGTGCGGAAAAGTACTGTTTCAACACTGAAATGAGTGCGGAAAAGTGAACTTTCCTGCACGCTAGTAGAAAAAAAACATTATTGCACCCACGAAGTTCCACGAACATAATGAGAATTCTCTTTGGTGCGATCCAAATCATGAAAGAAAGCAAAAGCAAATTATGCTTGAAATGAAGTGAACATCCTGAATTGTTGCAAAGGTAAAGAAGACCCAAAGAACCAGTAGTAACATGTCTTTGACTCAGTTGGATGAATGGATAAGGAATTCTGGTAAATTTTCTGGATATGTAGGTACGACGAAATCTGTATTGAACGAAAAATGTGAATGTTTATCCAGGATCGAATGAGGGTATTATTTTGTATAAACAACCGAGAGAAAAACGTTACTGAGGAGGATTTTGATCACATCTAATCCATAACATTTGCTTTGCTTTTTCCTGGATAGGTGGTAGACAATTAAAAATTTCAATTATTCTAGAAATGCCGATTTTGAAAAAGCTGTCGTATCAATATAACAACCTTGAATATAAATGAACTGCTATATCAGTTGCACAGTAGGTAACATTCAGGTTGATACGTATGGTGATGCAATTTTGTAATATCTCTGAAACTGGAACGTATCAGAACAAGTGAATTTAATAATCTATATACGCCATAATCAATGGATTTCATAACAAATAAAAACAACATGAATGTTGCCAATCCGCTAGTGATTTCAGTGCGCGAAACAGCTAACCGAATCTCATTAATTTAAGTAGATGGTCGCCCACAAAAAGAGAATTGCAAAATTATTCCATAATGAATGATCCGCCAACAGAGGATCACTCTAGTGACCTGGTAAGATAATTTATTTCACGAGGCGATCTTCCATATACTCACCAATAAAAATTCCGAATGCCAATGCCGCGCATGTTCCTGAAAGGATAGCTAAAAAAATATTTTTTCTGCAACCGACACGAAAGTCGTCCATTTTGATACCAAAATTAGCTCTTAAATTGACGTTTCTATTACTGACACAAAAATAGGTATGTTGCTAGGCAACATATTTAGTTCCTAGGAGCTAAAGTTGAACTTCAGTTCCTAGGAGCTAGGCATTTCATGTGCAGGAGATATAAATACACCTTATTATAGTTCAGTATTGGAATTATTAACATCTCAGTTGAGTATTTTTGTTTTGATCAGGGAAGCCTTCAAGATTCAAATACTTGCTTGATCTGTATTTCATTCGTTATTCTCGGGATGGATAACTTGTTTTTGAATAATCACGGCAAGCAATAGTTTTTTTTTGTCTCAAACAACGATATTGTTTAGCTTCATTTGATTATCAAGTCAAACACAGTGTAGTATGGAGATGAATGAATAATCACTATTATCATTGTTGATATGCTCACTAACCTAACATTTTTCACGTCTTGTTCCTATAGCTGGCACTGGTGCGGAATTTGCTGTTAGTGCAGACACCTGGTCAAAATGAATTCATAGATTCATCGATTCAATAAAATACACAAATGGGTTACCCTGTTATTGTATTTATATCGAAACTACAATTCGAACATCCTTCAAAATTGAGTAAACCTGATCAGTGAATGCAGGTAGAATATTCTCACCACACGGATCATTTGTTGTATTACATTGCCTGTTGTATCTGATGATGCATGTAAACACAAATTGTAACAAAGTAAAGTCATCGTCCACCAATATTCTAATGTGAAATAATCCTGAGGTCTTACTTCCATCTACTCACCTTTACTTCACATATTCACTTTAGTTAATTCTTTCGGTTACAGAAAAATAGCATGTTTCATTCGGACCGAAAGTAACTTTGTCTGACTCGCAAACTTGACTTGTTAAACAGAGAGTGTCACTTTTGATCCTAATAAAACAATCTACTATTAATAATTTGGCACTTTTCGAACTGACGAATGTTTTGAAACATCTATTTCGTGAATTTCGTTGATTTTTGACGGATACATCAAAATGACGGGCGGAGTCAAACTTGCCTACTAAATATAAAAAATATTGTACGTAACACGTTAGGAAACGCATTTGCCGCGTTTCGTATATAACTAGTTAGGTAAACAAACATCTATTGCATTTTGTAAAATATGTGGAAATTCGAATTCAAATAACAAGACTAAAAACTGCATTTTTTGATACATTTTATACCTACACTAGTATTACTGGATGGTATTTGACTCTAGCACACTAGCTAATGTCATCACCTTCCAGTTCATCTGAAGAAACATCAATTTTCGATGTTCAAATGACACATCTTGTATAACTATTGAATTAGATTCTGACTACAACTATCTCGGCAAATATATACGCAAGTTGTCTCAGAAAATGTGGGAAATATCTCTGATTCAGATATCCCCTGAAAAACAAGAAGACATGCAAATTCTTGTTTCATTTCATCAGGCCTACAAAAAATTTGGTAGCTTGAGCTCATATTTTCCTGGAAACTCTGTATATATGCGGCGAATAAATGTTGACTACCTTATATTTTTCCAAGGAAAATAGTAATTCTCCGTGTTGGTTGAATAATATACTATTTCGTGTCAAGAATGAAGAATACCTATACTGTGGGTGTCTCATTTGAAAATAAGGAGTCTTTGACGTTTTTATGATGTTAACAGGGATTTATACGTACAGTACAACATACCTACCGGGTACAAAAAAAAATCTTTTGATAGACATATTATCATGTGATCTAACAAAATATAAAAACTATGATTTAAATTGTTAATTCAAGGCTAATTCATGAAGCAGTGTAGCATGATGTTCTCATTACGTAATTAGATAATGAATGATCATTTAGGTTATAGTAGAGCATAGTATAGTCGGCGAATGATTGTAAATAAAAAGCCATCTGGAAATATCAGTTTTCAACCTTCACTGAAACTAAAACTTCAATAGTTTTAATTTTGCCACATTTCCATGAAATATTTACTTGGGCATATTTTCTTTTTTCTTCTTTTTCGAAATACTTCATCAGAATACAATTTAAATCTCGATTTGAAAGGTTTGCGACTTCATTGATTCTCAATTATGTAACTACTAGGAGTACTAGGTATCTACAAAATAACCTCATTTCAACATGATATGATCGAGGATATGAAATACAAATATGGATACCATAATTATACAGGGTGTCTGTAAAAGGTTGAGACATGGCTCGGCTGTGGACTCCTGGAATAAAAACAAGTTGATTTATTTAGGCCAACTTACCTATATCCAAAATCGTCTTGTTGAGTTGGTACAAGGAGCAGCTGAAGTTTTTGTAGAAAAAAACAATTTTGCTCATAAAAAGAGTAGGCTGAGATCGATTTCCAGAATTTTTAGCATGGCATGTTCTGTGACTGTAAGTCACATATTGAGATATTTTTGATCATCATCATCAGTGACCTGCAAGTGTTTCAAACAACCATGTTGCCGTACAGATTTGGTGGTAACTTTTCAGAGGTCAGACTGAAAACTTCCAGTTTTATTCTTCCGGAAATATATTCCCTTCAGAAATATTTTTTGTATCGTGTTAATTTTTGATAAGTCTCGAGGTTCATTTGCGAATAAATAATTTCTGATATGATGCATCCTGCGCATTTTTGAAAATTAATCTAATTAGTCAGACTGTTTATTGATCAGGACCTATAAGGTTAGCACTTTGACACCTTGTACCAACTCAACAAAACGATTTTGGATATAGGTAAGTTGGCTGAATCAACTTATTTTTATCCCAGGAGTCTACTTTTTCTGAAAAATGCATAAGATGCCTCAGATCAGAAATTATTTATTTGCAAATGAACCTTGAGACTTATCAAAAATCAACACGATACATTGAATATCTCTGAAGGGAATATCATTCTGGAAAAAAACTGGAAGTTTCCAGTCCGACCTCTGAAAAGTTATCACCAAATTTGTACGGCAACATGGTCGTTTGAAACACTTGCAGGTCACTGATGATGATCAAAAACATCTCAAAACGTGACTTACAGTCACACAACATGCCATGCCAAAAATTATGAGAATCTATCTCAGCCTACTCTTTTTATGACCAAAATTATTTTTTTTTTAAAAACTTCAATGCCTTGTACCAACTAAACGAGACGATTTTGGATAGGTAAGTTAGCCTGAATCAACTTTTATTCCAGGAGTCCACAGCCTAGCCATGTCCCAACCTTTCACAGACACCCTGTATGTAATGGTTACTTGATAACATACCTGTTTGTAACATTTGGAATTCTGGAACAATTCATAACTTGTTAGTTATCATTTGGCTTATTATTGGCTTGAATTAACTCTCATCTTTTGTTTCAGAAACTCCCTTATCCCAAGTCAGTATTTTTCATCGTCAGCAATGAATTTTGTGAACGATTCAGTTACTATGGAATGCGAAGTAAGTTTATTAGTAAGATGATTCTAATGCGATGTCATTTGAATTTTTGGGTTATTCATTTTCAAGTTTCTGAAATTCCCTTGAAAAATTTGGATTTTGACATACAGGTACATGATTTATAAAACGCTCTGTATTACATAGGAATCAAATACACGGTAAACAATATTGAAATCAGAATAATTCAAGCTGCAATCCTGTAGTGGTCTGGTGGATAATATTTGAAAATTATATGTAATCATTTTCTATTGACTTCCGTTCACATGAATAATAACAACATTTTTATCACATTGGGATTTCTCACTTCCGTATAATTTTCTAGATACTATATTCATATCCATGTGTTGAACCTCCACAAAAGAGTTGAGGTATAGATTTGGAGATTATGAGGTTGAGTATCCAAATATACCGGGTGGCTACGGAAGTATTGCCTACGGAATATCTCAGTTATTGTATGGAGTAGGTTTGTGGAATTTGGAGCGTCGATATAATGACATAAGAGCTAGAATTTGAGCATATTGACATGTCGAAGTTAACTTCCGGTCTGACCGGAAGTAACATCAACTTTCTTATTTTAAACGGAAACCCTATTTTTTTTTTAAATAACAAAGTTGATCTTACTTCCGGTCAGACCGGAAGTTAACTTCGACATGTCGATATGCTCAAATTCTAGCTCTTATGTCATTATATCAACGCTCCAAATTTCAAAAACCTACTTCATACAATAACTGAGATATTCCGTAGGCAATACTTCCGTAGCCACCCGGTATATGAATAGGAATTTTTTTCTTGGAGGTCGAATGCCTCTATAAACTTATAGGCTAGGGTAAATATGAATTGAAAGGCATTTATTGTATCACAGACACATCAGAGAATGCCATACCAATATTTTATTTTTTGCTTTCATACCAATGCTTCCGTGGAGGGGAGACTACTGATGTCATCACTGACATCACTGAGATAAATATTGGTAAAAAAGTTAAAAAACATTAACCATAAAACACCCTGTACTTCAACTTCTGGACTGAGGTAATCTAATATTATTATGAGTTAGCGTTTTGTACAAATAGACCCTCTGTATACAGGGATATACTTTAATGTACAGTCGTATTCAATAAAAAAGCGTACAAGTATAAAAAGAGAGGATTTCGGAATCCTAGTTCTAGTTGTGTAAAACTGGCTCAGCCATTTCTTTGTGTTTTTGAGAACCTATGACAACTTTACTATCAACATTTGGTAAGCATTCATTATTCCCGATTGCCAGTTTTATGCAGAATAGGATAACGTTAATTTCTCTCTGTAATATACGCTTTTTTTTTTAATGCGACTGTACTCAGATGAAATATCTATCTACCAATCTATTCATTTATCATAGACTGAACGATACCAGGTTTGGTCGAAGACCGCCAAATGACAATAAAGATATGGGAAAAAACTATTTCATTGTTGACATAAATATATGAACCGTGACGTTGGTCTAACTAAGAGATATTATAGTTTATTTGTCAAAATCCTCTTGTAAATTCAATAAAATCATTAAATAATGTTGATTCAACACAAAATGAATAATAATAGGGAAACATTTTTATCTAATGAAAAAATTGTTTATAACATTTGAAATAATGCACATGAGGAAACTAGTTGGAAAACAATAAATAATAATCTGAAGATTAGGAAACAAGCTCTAAAATTATAAATTACTTAATTTTTGATATAACAGACAATATCAATTTTTCCAATTGCATGCTGTCTAGTGTGAAGAAAACGAGATTGTTTTCTTATTTTCATCAAAATATCACTACTGTCAATACATAATCAGGAGAAATAATTTTTATAACAATTATAACCAGAAATATTCGAAAGGAATAGCAATTTTCCCTAATAATTGCATGAATCTCTGTACATGAGTATGAAATTGAATTCTTATCAACTCTTTCCAATAATTTGTTTTGATATCTTGCCATCTAACCCTACTTTGTGCCTCTTCATAGTAATTCTTCAGATTTTTACACCCCCCCCCCCCCTTACTTTTTATATATCTTTTATTTATAATCATTCCTGTAGATTTCATATGTTGGCAAAAAACAGTTGTAGGTACAGTCGCATTAAAAAAAAGCGTACAAGTATATTGCAGAGAGAAATTAACGTCATCCTATTCTGCACAAAACGGGCTATCGGGAATGATTGTTCACCAAATGTTGACAGTGAAGTTGTCATAGGTTCTCGAAAACACAAAGCATTGGCTGAGCCAGTTTTACACAACTAGAACTAGGATCCCGAAATCCTTCCTTCTTAAATACTTGTACGCTTTTTTATTGAATACGAATACGTAAATCTCAAGAAAAAGTTAGAGAAAACTTATATTGATCATTAAATGGAACGCAGCTCATACAAGTCGAAAATTGTTACTTATTATTTCAGCTGCTGAAAGTTCACGAGATTTAGTTAAACTGGATTTTCCCTTGATAAGGTAGAGGCCGACCAGGTACCAGCTGAACTTCGGGACAGCACACGGTCACGTATGCATTCGATGCAGCCCTAAATCTAAGTTGAATCACGTAGTGTCCTAAAGTTAACCTGGTCGGTCTCCAAGCTAATCCTTCTACCTTTTTCAGCCATCCTGGTCATCTACCTCACCAACATCCTCCTCTACTCCGAGGCGGACGCCAAGATCGTCTATCACACCTTCACGATGTTCGTCTATTTCTTTCCCGTCCTTGGGGCCATCCTCTCCGACAGCTACCTGGGCAAGTTCAACACCATCCTCTACGTGTCCATGATATATGCGGCCGGCAGCATCCTCTTGGCACTCGCCTCCGCCGAGCCAGTCGGGTTGCCCCAGAACGAGTTCTCCATCGTGGGCCTGCTGCTCATAGCCATCGGTAAATACACCTACCAGCCCGAAAAATAAATGCTAAATTTATGCCCCTGTAACTTATTTCAACACTCCATCTAATTTAAATAGTACTAGTAGTAATAATACTATCGAAATACAGTCCACTACACTCATGCATCAAATATATTGGTCCTTCGAGCCGGATCAAGAAAATACAGCAGTTTTAATCATCGAAAGCCAACCTCGAGTTCTCGAGACGAGCAACGGTCTACTTTAGCAGCTGGGCCAAGCAATCAAACACATCAGACGGCCATACGCAGTTTGAAGAACAAGTTCAAAATATCGTATCGCATCGCAAAGAAGGAAGAATTCGGTATTGTTCTCTTCCCTGACTCAGTGCAACTCACAATTTGATGTACAATTCGATATTGAAATATGTAATCAATAATAATCATACTATCGAAATACAGTCCACTGCACTCAAGAATGGAACAGAATATTATCCTGAATTCGAGTACGCAAGAAAAGCTGAGGGCTTGATCATTATACAGGAACAAACAGAAGTTACTCTTTCACTAGATCAAGGTGTATCGAAGAAAAAAGTTGGGAGGGGTCTACTATGGAAGGTTGATAAACCATACATAAAGTAGTGAGAAACGAATGAAATATGCTTGGGAATTTGCATAGGTCATAATTCTTCGAACTCAATACCCATGAATTCACTGTTTCATTCTTTTTTGCAGCAAAGCTTTGAGTTCAACTCTTTTTTCATGTCATCCTGAGGGAATTCCTGGATCCACTGGTTGAGTGGACAGATTGGCCTGCCTTTGATCACTCCTTCTCTAATCTCTGGTTTATTATTGGGAATACTCGATCTTCCTACGAGGAAAAACAACCCTTTACACTTTAATACTACTTACCGAACCAATTTTTTGATTCGATTCGTGTTTTGCTATGTTAGCATTGAAACTGAATACAATATTCCAAAATGCTGCTCATAGTGTGACAAAGATAAGGTTGAAAAGTAAAATCTTTTTGGAAATACAGACAAAAATGAAAATCTCCAGGAGATTTTTTCTTCCTTCAATTACCACTACTCCACTTTGAGCATTATGGACTTCTACACACGGTTATAACTGAAAATACTTTTTATACATAGTGATGAAACCACTAACATTTTCAGGTACTGGTGGTATCAAACCTTGCGTCTCAGCATTCGGTGGCGATCAGTTCATCTTACCACAGCAAGAAATGCAGCTGGCGTTATTTTTCTCGTTGTTCTACTTTTCGATCAACGCTGGAAGTTTGATTTCAACTTTCCTAACGCCCGTTTTGAGGAACGACGTCCATTGTTTTGGACAGGACAGTTGTTTTCCTCTCGCTTTCGCAGTGCCCGGAGTACTCATGATCATGTCTATTGGTAAGTGATCATTCAAATCATTAATCTTCAAGTATTCAGAATAGAACATTATAATATTATCTATTTTTGCAATTCCTCTGCGGCATTGACAAGCTATTATTTTTTTATCAAAAAAACTATTGTACCCACCTATACGCATGTGTTGATTCAATTATTTTCTTCAAGCTACCTTGTATAATTTCGAATAGACGTGGATAGGGTAGTTCCACCAATCAGAAGTTTAGAATTATTTCCATTTCCATAGTAACCACTTCATATTGTTATATACAAACAAAGCGTGTCGTAAAATCCCAGACGGCACCACATATTCCTTGAATATGCCTACTACATCCAATTTTCCAATGAATATTGCATTATCCCTGGAATATTCCATGAATATGTGCTTGATCTAATATCCTCAGAGAATATTCCTGAAATATATTTTCCGAATATTCATTAGATATCCCCGAAGAATATTCCCTGAATATGCTTATCGAATATCCATTAGATATGCTTTTCGAAAATTCCAGGAATATTTCAAAAGCAGATTGTCGGAATGTCGACCTATGCCGAATGGACACGACACGTGTCTGTCGGTCATCGCCTTTTGTTCCACATTCCACAGTCACCTAGTGTAGGACGTGATATCAACATGGGCGAATATGCCGCGATTGTTTTTATTATAAAACAGACGAGAAGAGCATGGAATTATTAGTTTGAGCAGAAGTGCTAGAATGTGTATCGATTACTGTGAATAATAGTGTTGACATCAATATAAAGTTTCAGACGTTTGAAGTTAGTTACAATTCAAAAATGGAACATTAACTTAGGATGCACTTCTCTTTTTGCCGCCATCAAACTGAAGAGGGTCACAAAGGAGAAATGGCACTCAATACCAGTATGAGGTATAAGTACCTAAGATTATACATTATAATGAATTCATATAATCTATATAACATCGAAAAAATGAAAGGGGTGAGTGATTCTGTGATGAGAATGAAGGTATTTGGTATGGACTTTTTTGACAACCCTCTCAACCCCGGATAAGTTACGAAGATAAAAAAATACATGGTTTTTATTTCTGAACTTCCCTATATATTTAGTTGAAGACACGGAACTTGGTAAATATCATGTGTCAATAAAACTACACATATTGAAATGTTTTACACCCTGAAGTATGCTTATAGAAGGGGTTATTGGAATATATTCATTTCACAATTTGAAAAAAACAGCTGTAAAGCCCAATCTATTTACTAACTTATTGTTGATCTCTGGAAAAGCATTCGCCATGTGTTTATTAAAAAAAAGTGTTCATAAAAAAAGTTGTAAAAAAAAATATCTTAGGCGTTGAATATTTCAAGCCCTTCTGAGCATACTTCAGGGTTGAAAACACTCCAAAATGGGTAGTTTTCTTGATGAATAATATTAACAAGTTCTGTGCCTTTAGTCATATACAGAGGAAATGAAAAATAAAAAATCATTTTTCTAATTTTGAGAAGGGTGTTATTACTATTCCGTGAAGAGATTTTTCAAAAAAATGCATACCAAACGCCCACCTCAATTTTCATCACGAAATCACCACTTGAAATTTTTCTCTGTTATTTAGATACACCCTGTAGATGCACCTCATTTTTTTCAGTACTTACTCATATCTACCCATCTGTCAAATGGAAAATCCAGGAAATACTCGTGTTGTTGAAGATACAAACGTGACAAAGAAATAAATAATAGATTGAAATCAGCTGATTAACTCAGATGTTGACAAATTCAGTATCTAGTTCTTTCAACTTTTGTAGCACGCCCAGAGCAAAGGTGAGTGAATTCAATCAATTTTCATATTCTAGTATTTGCTATGTTATAATCATTGCAGATCCTGTTGAATTCATCACCGCTACCGTTCAAGAGAAGAAAAAAATCATATGATATGATATATAAAGTGCAAGCTTCAAGTATTTTACAAACCTACATCCTGTATGTTGATTTCTATCTTTTACATAATAAATTACATTTCATACAGATATTTCATTCTAGTAATCATTGAAAAGCATATTCTATGCATATACAAAAAACATATTCCTAGTATATGCCACCAATCTCTTTTGGAAGATTCACAGATATTCCTGGCATATGTTTCATGGTGACCTTGGATATTCCTGGAATATGCATATCATATGTTTTGGAGGACATGGAATATCCATGGCATATGGCAATAATCCAACGCAATATGCATAGGATATTCATGGAATATGATTGTGCCGTCTGGGATGTTGACGTTCGTTCAGAACTATTCAAAATATAATCGCATCGAATACAATTCGAACTTCAAAATCTTCAAGGTTATACACCTCTTCCTGCACAATTACAAATCGTGTCAACTGAACAGAATCTGTTAAGCTGACACTCTTTGTAATCATGCAACAAGTTATCGTTAAGTTAAGTTAACCCGAATATTTTGAACTACTTATAGTATCACTACTGAATATACACTGCTTTAAAAAATGTTGTCATGAGGTGATTTATATTAACCTGCCGATGACGTTATTTTCAAAAGGTTATATAGCTCTGTTTTTTTTTTCAAATGGAACACTCTGTATATACATGTTGCATTAATATTTCTATTGTCGTTGACTTCGATATCTAATAGGTTATATCAGTACTTAATGGTTTTCGGGATGTTTATTTTCTTAATTAAACAGGCCGTATTTTTTATTTCGTACCACTATTGGCATCTCAAATGATACGAAGTTGGTCAAATTTGACAAAAGTTATGAATAATTTTCTGGATACCCTTCATTCAAGAAACATTTATTATTATTATTATTTATTAACTCATAAAGAACAAGGCCTTACGACCTTGACATAAAATCTACCTTACGATTCTTACGAACATTAACATAAACTACAAACTGATTAGGTGAAGAAAATTAACTACTTGCCTACTTGTTTCTGCTTAAAAAATATACTTAAACATTACATAGCTGTTTATTAAAATGTCATAATTTATTCAGAACAAAGTTGTTATGGTGTCAATGACAAAAATTGTTTAGAATCCTCTTCAGAGTATATAGGAACATTTTTTATAGTGAAACATCATGTTTTTTTATATTATCAATAATCTGAAGAATTATTAATTTTTCAGTAATATTTGCTTGTGGAAAGCCAATATACAAGGTGAAGAGGCCTGAGGGAAACGTAGTGGTTAAAGTCGCCAAATGTATCACAGTAAGTATCCTTATCTTGGATTTCAATAATCAGTACCACCGCATATAACTCTTCCTTTTTTGACAGTAGAAAAAAATCACAGGAGACGAATTTCTTCTCGAATGAACAGATGCATTTTCACTATTCGAAAAAATATACAGGGAGCAGCAAAAAGTGTGTGAATTTTGAAATGAACTCTTCATATTTCCTCATTATTGGAAAGGCCTTATCTTTAAGAGCTTACTAAATATACCCCAGTTTGATGGATTTTGAGTGATTTTCGGAGAGTATACCATGGCAATGATTACAATATTGATTCTCAGTGAGCACTACCAATAAGAATTAAATGTCATAGGCAGCGAATCTATAGCATTACACATAAATTTGCAGTCACCTTCTGTCGAAATCCGATCAAAAATTGATCAAACTGTGTTAAATTTGAATGTCCATTAATTGAGAAATACAAAACGGGGCATTTTTGGATACCTCTTCGAAAGGCTTTCCCAATGGTGAGGAAGGTGTTCTATTTGAAATTCCTACACTTTATGCTGATCCCTGTATATTTGCTCAGATAGTGAAAACTTATCTTCTGATTCAGGGAGTTGAAAAAATGCCCTTTGAAGTTGATTCAATTTTTTCCACTGTCAAGAATCAAAGAGTTATACAGTGAGTGGTATAATATACTTTATAACGGGTCACCCGATACAGAGCTCTGACGAGAAGACGGTTGGCGACAGTGAAAAATTTTCAAAATAACGAAATAAAATAATTCACTTCAGAAACCGAAGTTGTAGAAAAAAGGAGAAAAACGTACCTACCTCTAAATTCTTAGAGATTATTTAGAGGAGTAAGGTCTCTTCCTATAATATTCAGTCGAAGAGAATAATGTCAATGAGGTACATTTGAAGATAGTTATGAAAACGCTGTTGAATTTTCTTTGTATTCATTCAATAAACGATTTATTTTGGTTGAAATGTATTTCTTATCTCATTACCGCACTAGTAATAATAGATTATATACAGTGTGACCCATTTAAGATGGAAGCACCCTTATAAAACTTACATTTTTCAACCGATAGGAATGATTTTTTTTTTGTTAGGTAGATATTCAAAAAGTCTATTAGGACACCAAATATCATGAATAAATCTCCATTTCCAGGGCCAACTAATCTGATTTTTCAAGGTCAAAAATCTAAAAAAATTACTAGCGATTTTTTTAGAAAAAATCTGACTACACCACTGGATTTGTGACATTTTCAAATGGGTAAGATGTAAATTACGTTGAAATGCGTCAATCAATAAAAAAGTTATAAAGGAATGAAATTTGAAAAATATGCCGTTTAATCAACCCACCAATTCATGTTCAGGAATTTTATGAAAATTCTGTATACTCCACTGGATTCAGGATGTCTTGAAATATTACTGATCACAGTTTCATCGAAATCTGTTCAGTAATAAAAATTGATGGGTTCCTGTCAAGTAATACTCATCTGTCTGAGATGATTATAATTCCATCTGTCATTGCTTGAAATTTGACATTCTATGGGCGATTAGTTTTTTTTTAATTATAACACAACGGAGTCATTGTGATATCAGATACGGAAATAAAATTGATGACATACAAAGTACCTCATTGATGTATCGAACACAGTAAAACAAGAGCAATCTTGTGTTATAGCCGTAGAAAAGGAATATTATTACCCTGGGACCTTATTCCACGAAGCCTTGGAACATCATAATCTTGGTCCCTGGGTATAATACTGATATTCTTCACTACCTTGGTGTATGAATAACTATTGTTTGTCTCTGACTAGCACCTATACCCACATGGTATATTTTCAGTACGCAGTGAGAAACAAGATAAGTTCCAATGAGAAGAAAGACCACTGGATGGACTACGCCGAAGACAAATACGGCGTCAAACTGGTTGATGACATCAAGGCCACCCTTCACGTCCTCGTGCTGTATCTGCCTCTCCCTATATTCTGGGCCCTATATGACCAACAGGGCTCAGGATGGACCTTCCAAGCCGTCAGGATGAACGGCGATATAGGGTTTTATACCATCTTACCCGACCAGGTAATATAAACAATTTTTTCCCGATTATTTTTTTGTCAAACTGTGATGTTTTCGTTGTTTCAACCAATAGCGATGCGTAATAGTAGCCAATCCATTCTGTATTATACTGACTATCCAGATAAAATACGATAAATCTGATAAATTTGATACTAATATTGGCGTTCCGCAGGGATCTGTGCTGGGGCCACTTCTGTTTCTTATCTTTATTAATGATCTACCCGAATACATTAACGATAGGCTGATGATGTATGCAGACGATTCCTCGGTGGTGGTTGCTGCACAGACCCCTGAGGAATTGTATGAGAAAACAAAATGTCTAATCAACACGTTTCAGAACTGGTGCAATCAAAACAAAATTCGATCAAACTAAATCTTGATAAGACAACATATATAAACTTCAGATACAAAAAAAAATACCCCACGCATCAACATGTCTGATATGGCCTATGTATCAGAAATTAAATTTCTGGGTGTTCATTTAGATAAGTTCGTGAGCTGGGACAAACACATAGATCTTATCAGTAAAAAACTCAGCTCAGCATTCTATGCCATTGTGCAATTGAAAAAAACATCGAATTTGAGTTCTATCATTAGTGTATACTATTCTTTAGCTTATAGTCATCTTTCATACAATGTCTGTCTATGGGGTAACGCTGTATAAACTGGAAGAAAGTATTCATCAAACAGAAAAGAATCATGAGACTTATCTTTAATATTCCACATGGTGACACATGCAGGCATGCCTTTAAAAATAATAATATCCTAACCCTACCATCTATTCTCATATTTAAAACCCTCCTTTATGTAAAAAACAACTCGCAAAGGTTTTTAAAACATTCTGATCATAGATATTCTACCAGGGATGCTCATGATTTTGATATCACTAGATATAACCTATCTCGTACTGAAAAATCCCCGGACAAATTGGGAATACAACTCTTCAATCATTCACCTCAAGAAATCAGAGAAATGAATTTTACCAAGTTGAAATCGTCCATGAAGCGCATATTGACTCAGGGCGCTTATTACAACATAAATGAGTACTATGAATCTAGCTTGCTATAACGGTCGTGAGGACTCATCATGGAAAGTTTTACTCTAAAAAGAAAATGTCATTATGAAACCTTCTTTCGTGTAGAAATATCGCATCTTCTTATTCGAAATCATGTATTTTTATTGTATCGTTTGAAGAAAAGTTGAAAATTCCTGAATACTGATCAGCTGAAAATCAACAAGTGATATATTTTCTTCGAAAATTCCCGCCTCTTTTCTACGCTTAGTCAATGTCGGCTAAATGAGTGAGGAATCTAGCCAGCTCTGGCCTCAGCTAACTCGATTTTAATATTGTTCAGGTGCAAGTGGTCAACCCCCTGCTCATCTTGGCCTTCATCCCCTTGTTCACCTATTCCATTTACCCCATGCTGGCCAGATGTGGCCTCCTCAAAACGTCCCTCCAAAGGATGACTTGCGGCGGCTTCCTGGCCGCAGTTGCTTTCGCTGTGTCGGCAGTGGTTTCTATAGCTTTGGAGAGCACATACCCGGTGCTACCGTCTCCTGGCAACATCCAGCTACGAATCTATAACCCTTCTGCTTGTGATCTCAGCGTTGATGCTCCGGAACTCAATCTAAGCATCAGCAAAGTAGCCCCTCTCGGATATTACGAGAATAAATATATCGATTTCCAAGGATCCAAGAACGTTAGCTTCCTTCTGAAATCGGACTGCCTGACTCTGGCCAAGGAGATGGAGGTTCCTTTAGAAGAACAGAATGCATTTGGGATCTCCTTCACTAAGGACGGGCATTTTTGGTACAAGGATTCTGTGGCGAAGAGTGAAGATGGTTATCCAAAAGTGAGGTACGGTTTTCCGAGCTCTCTAAACTCAAAGTCGCATTGAATTTCGTTTTCGTTCCAGAACCTTGGATTACATGAATAGAGCGATAACTTACAAAATGGATTCGAATTCTCTCACTGTGGATGCGGGAAATCATTCATTGAAGTCTGTTCCAAGGCCAGGGACGTATACCATAGAAAAATCGGATGATACTTCGCTGATGGTGGACTTGAAGCTTGGAGGAACGTACACTGTCATGATAAACGACGTAAGTTCAAGATAATAATAATAGTATATCATTCAACATGCATTTAATGAGGGCTTTTATGTGCGAGTAGAATACTATAGTTTGTCCACGACTACTATTGTCTTTGATATATAAATTTATATTTATCAACTCATTTGACATTGTGAAAACTGAAAATTGAAGATACCTGTTACATTAATTATTTGTCTATGACTGTTTTGTACCTTCTCAAGCAAAACGACAGCCAGTTTTCACACCAGTGAATAACCATTATTCACTGGTTCCTTATATGTTATATCGCGTACCCTAGAAACTCTAGACCAGTGAATCATGGTGATTCACTGGTGTGGAAAATGGCCACCGTTTTGCTCCAGGAAGTACACGTATTATGAATATCATATGCAACAGTCGTAGATAAATATCAGTATCCAATTATTTTCATGATCAAACAATTCAAATCGAGTTGTATTTACCATATATTCCACTTATTAAATCGGAGACTGAAACCTTTGGCATCGTAATCCACTATCGACACTGTTTTACCACTAACCAAATCGATTTTTCAAACGCTTCGACACGTGTTTCGATTAGTATGTTAGCATCTTCAGGAGAAGATTGAAACTGAATATCCATTTCAGTATGTGCTACTTATACAGGATGTTTCAAATTCGATCCTCGCCGTTGAAATTTCGAAAACTATAAGAGATACGTAACTAACAATGAGCCGTTTAGAAAAGAAATGGAGATTTTGGGAAATCGTTTTCATTTATTGTGAGATTTCAAAATGAATCGCACTTTTTTACTCTACTACATGATGGTTCGTTGAGATTTGCTAACCAACGATTTGTCTCCTGGCCACCATCATCAACTTTATATTTTCCAATGAGCGCCATATTGGATATTTTTCTGTTTGGAATAGAACCTGTTATTATGTTTTCAATGGTGTATCACAATTAAGTTGCCTTCTATCTGTAAAAATCGGAGTTTTTTTTTAACTAATTCTCATAGTAGCCTTTGGCATCGTCCACCAATATTGGTGGACGATGCCTTTGGGTTTGATGTTTTACTCTCAATCTGTAACACTTATTCTTTTCACTGCGGATAGATTTTTTGAATTCTGGTCTTCTGTACAGCCATTTTGGACTGGTGCTGATCAACACAGTTCCCGCAGAGAAATAATCTCGCGAACATATTGTAAGGTTTCCGGAGTGAACCGATAAATTGATCCAGAGCCGTACTCGGAATTATCTTGGGCATTTCGAATTTAGGAGAAAATAAATTCGAAGTGATTTTAACAGATCAAAAAACCTTCCATTTCGAAAATGAAATACTTGGAGTTAACTCTCTCATAATTTCCAAATGGAATATTGAAACAACTAATTTGATTAAATGATAATAATACGCGAGCCATTTTTTCATGTGACTGACACTATCGATAAGTGCGTATCAATAGATTCTAGGTGGATATCTGTAGAAATCACCTATTCAATATAAAATATTACACAAAGGGTTTCGAACTTAAGTCGGCATTATTGCTAATGTGGTTCTCATTGAAGCTATAATATCAGTTAAAATATACTACATCGCCTACATCAGCAGGAGTCTGAAGGAACAAATGATTTTTGCAGACAAAAAAGCATTTTCGTCACCTAGTTATACTGCCCAGATGAAATATTTCAATTTTACATTCAACTATGTATGCTCTAATTGTTGTTGATATACGGATCTCTCTATATTCATCAATGATTCAAAATTCGAATCCTCACATTATATAGATATATTCCAAACAAACAATAAATTTTGGTGCGCCGCGTTCATACGCCTCCTCAGAAGGTGCTAGCCCTAGACTCTAGTTAACTTTGGTTTGGTCCATCGGATATCATCTCTCGGCGGGGGCGAAATATTTCAGTCTCGGCACGTTTGGAAATCTGCAAAAGGGAAAGTATATCCCCGTTATGTTATCACATGACGGAAGTATGTCCGGAATAATGGCAGCAAATAAATCGACGTGATTTGGCTCAGATTGAGGGATGGCACTGGTAGCTTATTGAGGTCTACCATTAAATTGGTATCGGATAGCATAATTCTTATCTCAGGAAAGAGCCATTTTTCAATCATTTTGCTTAAGATAGTGATGGGCACAGGTGCCGTTCGATAAAATACAATGTTTTCACATGCCTTCGAAACATATAACAGTACCTTTATAGATCGCGCGTATTATAATCTTTATGGTCCTCAATCGAGAACACATCCAAGAAATCATTTGTTTCTAAATGTTTGGAATAATTAATGCTTTTTGAGCCACTTCAACACTATTTTTCATTTATTACTACTTTGAAACTATTCTTACTGACGTGTGTAGAAAAAATGATGTTTGGAACTTGTGCGCGAAATACTTTGGTAATCTCGACTATTTTATAACGAGATGCAATTCTTGATCACAAAAGTAGCATTTCGCGATTTTAGATTCATAAAATAGGTATCTTATTTTTGTTTTAGGACAGCACAGCTCGAATAAGTTCGATAACTATCACTGAACCAAACAGTGTTCATATCCTATGGCTGCTTCCCCAATATTTCATCATAACAGCTGCTGAAATCATGTTTTCAATAACAGGATTGGAGTTTTCTTATTCCCAAGCACCTTCTACAATGAAATCATTGTTGCAAGCTTGTTTCCTGCTAACTACAGCCTTCGGAAATTTAATTATTGTTATTATTGAGTCTGCGAAGATTTTCGAAAAACAGGTAAGAACGTTATGAATATTAGGGCCAAAATATGTCCCGATAGAAAAAATCTTTAGATTTTCAACAATATGGCCTCAAACCTTCAACTTGCAAAGCTAATAGAATGAAACTCATAATATATATAAGAATAATTGATGCACTTATTTCCCAAAAATCAAAAATTTCAAAATATATAGGGTGTATCTAAATAACACTGGAAAAATTCAAGAGGTGTTTCCTTGTGACATTCTAGCAAATAAAGTTCATATAAACATGTGTCCTACCTTGTCACGTCAGTGAGATACAGGATGTTGAAGTTAGCAGAAGTATTAATTGTTTGCATTTATAACCCCCCTGTATAAGCTTTCATGGTGCCAAAATTCAGTATGGATGGAGACTGAGAAATGAGTAATCTCAATTGAAGTTTTGAAAACACGTAGCTACATTAAAATTTGGAGTCAAATCGATTTTTTATTGTTTCCTCAAAAACTAAGCTAGATACAAAAATCACACAGAGGATAAAAAAGTTTTTATTTCAATAGTTCAATCAGGTTCAATCTATGATAAAGATATGAAACTCAGATAAACCGGTGGTGTACATTCACCATGAATGAATAATGAATGAACTTTATTTCCTAAAATATCAAAAGGAATCACCCCTTGAATTTTTTCGGTGTTATTTATATATACAGTGTGACCAAGATAAGGTTGCACAGCATCGGGATCTCGGAATTTATAATAGATATATATCCCCCTGCTCTATGCACCCTTATCTTGGTCACGTCACAGTGTATACAAACAGAGTGACCCATTTGGAAGCAGGCCACGACCCTCACGATACTTTTTTCAATGTTGATGGAGAATGGTGTATTTTGGAGGTACGCGGCGTCCATTTAAAAAAAACAAGGCCTACTATAGATCACATTCAGAGGCTGAAAAATCCAGAATTCATATTAGCGATTTCTTTTCGGAAAAATCCGTGTACACCACTGGAATCGGCGTCCTCTATGAAACGGATCTCTACCAAGTTTCATGAAAAAATTTTCAATATTCTCGAATCTACAGCGTGTCTCATTTCAAACGGCTCCCCCTGTATATCTCAGCTTTAAGTCGTGCGATCTTTATTAGCAAATTGGGACTGATATGGGGTGCGTTCGAATACGTACTCTGTGGAGTAGAGTTTACTCATTTGCGTTCCAAATTCATCAGATTTGTTTCAAATTAGGTTAGGTCCATTTGAAACGCAGTTAATGATTTGTTTCATATCTACAAAGCATACAAACTTGGTAAGTACCTTTTAAGATTTATATTTCGATGTTGGATAACATCATGAAATCTTCAGAAAGTGAGGTGGGTGTAAACTAGCACGTATTTCTTGTATTTATACTTTCAAATCACGATTTTCTACCTACCCGAGAATAATGCAAAATTTGAAGCCAATCCTGTTAATTCGGAATGAAATGTTTTCTGCATATGGAGTTTCGAAAGCATGAGGAACAATAATATGAAATTAGTTTTCTTGTAAAAAATTACTTATATATGATTTCATAAAAAATCGACTCCTTTTTATTCCATTAAAATACCACGGCACTGTCCAACAGGATGTTCGTCTCTGAAAAACTGATCATATTGATGGCTATTCATACCGGTCGCGATTTCGTAAAGATTGCACGACTAATAGTTAGTTGTATAAGGGGGGGGGGGGGGGGTGCTGTAGATTCGCTAATGTTGAATATTTTTCCAAGAAACTTGGTACAGATCTATTTCAGAGGACGCCGATTCCAGTAATTTTCGTAAATTTTTTCTGGACTGCATTTTTCAGCCTCTGAATGTGATGTGATCTCTAGTATACAGGCGTTAGTTTTCTGATGTATATGAGTCGATTTTTTCTAGCAGGACTTCAACGACTAAAAGACGCATATTTTCAATATGAAAATTGCATGTGAACATATATGGGTTTTCTATATACAGGGTGTCACAGTTTGAGATTTTTTGTTTGTGTTTTTCTCCTACAATTTTCGATTTAATGAATTGAAATTTGGTACACCTAATATTAGACTTCAAAAACTCGAAATTAATATCGCTACCAAGCGGTTTTGATAACCTACGATAGGGTGATACACTTTTGAGAGTTATACCCAATTAAACCCTCTTGAACTTTTTTGCTTTCAATGAGACATTGATTCAGGTTATCTCTTTTTTTGATTACCTACTTTTTGCTCTTCTATATGTGGTACTCATGTAGGAACACTCCTATATATAGAATGAGTTTTATTCAAAGGGTTCAAAATTGACGTTGGTTGAGAAAACTGAAGAAGTCGTACTGCCCATTTTCATATGACGACGAGTTTGATGTTGACAAGTTGTATTCACAATAGAAAATCTATAGTACCTATACTGATTAATCATAAACTTATTTCAGTCAAACGATTTCTTCCTTTACACCGGCCTGATGGTAGCGGATATGCTCATATTCACATACATGGCGATGAAATATAAATACGTCACACCCGAAGATTCTGAACTAGAGGAACTTGAGGAGACCAAGGAACCTCATCATGAAAAGGAAAATAATGGACTAGAAAACCCATCATACAATGAAACAAACTGAATGAGGATGATATAGTGATTTACTTAAAGCAGAGTGAAATAGTGAGCATATGAGAATCGATCTCACGAAAAATCAGTATTAATTTTTTTTTTTCAATTACTCGATCCAATATAATATTCATTGTAAAGTGTAAAAAATGTGTCCAATGAATAAAATTGGTGTATAAATCCACTCAAGTACAAGGTTGATATACGTCAGGTAGTGCCATCTGTCAGCAGAGTGGCTTACTTGTAGTACCACTATGACATCCATTTTGTAAATAGTGAATAATATGCAAACGACATTTTAATTTATTTCATATAGGGTAGGAAGCTAAAGTTTGACAGGTTGTATACTGATACTGATGATATGACATATTTGTAGGTAGTTGTATATATAGGTATCCACGATCCACTTATATGAGAGTGAGACATGTTTTAATTATCGCAATTTTCAAGTATCTATATATAGGTATTGAATATTCCAACTGAAATAATATGCCTGAATTTGACTGAGGTCATTATATATAGTCTATAACAAATAAGTGAAAACATATCCTAATCATGTATATCAGGTACCCATGTTGAATAAGGATAAATAGGTAGGTATATAAGGGACGACCAAACTAGAATATTTGTGGTGCATATAGTTGGTCCAGAGTCGTCCATTGGATTGATCACTTAATTACCAACTTGATTTTCTCATTGTATATAACATATGTAAGAGTAGAAATAGGTAGGTAATGAATTTTAAACAGAAAATTTTGAAAAATATTCCAACATTATAATATATAGGGATAGGTACCATACTTTTGTGATAAAATTCATTCATTAGGTATTATATCTATGTTATAAATGCCAATAGCCATTATTATAATGATAAAATCATGCTTGTTTTATTACCTATATCTCCTCATGTAGAAGAACCGTCAACGCAGGGCTATAATAGACGATATTTTCAATCATATGCCTGTATTTTTATTGTTATACGAAATAGTTATTTTTGTATCTAGTGCGCCAAATGCTACCTTGGTGATCGAGAAAAATATTCGAGATGACCAAAGTATTTCGCGCACGAGTTGCAAACAAAATGTTTTCTATATACAAACGTCAAGAAATATATAGTTCTGCAGTAGTAATATGCTTAGCTTATTATAAATAATAGTGTTGAACTAGCTTAAAAGGCCTCTCGATCCCTATCCTCCCTATAGGTACGCACGATGTTCCACGAACATTATAGGAATTTCCTTTCGTGCGGTCCAAGAGATAAAAAAAATATTGTTGAACATTCAGAAACAAATGATTTCTTGGATGTTTGCTCGATTGAGGACCATAAAGTTGAAATATAAAAAATCTCATTAGTTAACATACAATGCGCAAAGTATGTACTTTGCGCATCGTTTTACTCGCGCACTGCTGCGCACACATGGTGTCGTGGTAACGTAGGGAACTGAAAAAAAATTGTCACTCCGCAGTTTGTTATCAATGGTCATACAGAGCATACAGGGTTAAGAAGGTAGTAAAAGTGAACGTACAATGGTTAAAATACGACTGAACGTCTTTATTCATAGAAAAAATGTAAGAACAAATGAAAAAGAATATTTGATGAAAAACAGAAACAAAATCTGAACATATAAGTCGATATAACATTATATCATATCCGATATATTACCACCCATCGTGGATATTACCTCTGAAAAACAATTTTTTTTTATAATTTCGATATTATAGATGAAGGATCGAAAGTCGCAAAATGAACTTTGAGCTCATCATGAAGGTCTTGATAAAACTGAAAACAAATATTAATCTCATTGAAGGATATTCTTGTTTAGTGAGTCAACTGTCACCCATCAGTTGTACTAAAAGCGGGTGCAATTTGAAATATAACTAGAGTCACTGGATAAGGAAGACTTGAGAACTTCTTGAGGAAACGACTATAAATTTAGTTAGATGTTTCGAAGTTACCGCCATAAGTAGGATCGTTCTGATTGGTCTACAAATGCGTCGTTACCGAAAGTCATGGTTGTTTGAATTCTTTCAATGAAAACAGCTGTGTTAGTGGGAAAAACCGAAAAACTAAAACCAAAGTGGTTGCGACGTAATAAATTTGACATGTAAACATTTTTGTTCGTCATAAACGGATGAACTTCTTTTGTGTTTTTCAGTGTTTTCACAATCTTTAAAATTGATTGAGAAGCAAATAATTATAGACACCAGGAAATAAGTGATTCAAGCAAAACCTAAACATGAGTTCTAAGAAGAAAGATCTGGAAATCATCTACAATTTGCAGTGGAAAAGTAAGCCAGCAAATGGAGGTGACAAAGCAAATATTATCGGGATGTACGACATCCCTGCTACCACCCTCAACTGGGAAATCTTCAAATCCTATCTGGTATGTTCTATAATTATTGTCGTTCAAATGAGTAATCAGGGTTCAAGAATGGTTTGAATATTTTCAGCTCAAAAATTCAGGCACAGTAGGAGTTGATGTCAAAGTATCATACATCACAGATAGCAATAGGGAATTCCCTATTGAATCTCAAACTGACTTTCAAATTGCTTTGTATGCTTTTCGACGTAAGGCTAGGATGGGAGATATTGTCAACCTGAAACTGGAAAGAATTTCTGAGCAGCCATTGTATAAGAATATTCGTCATTCTAATGATGTTGAAACACAGTTCAGTAATGAAGCTACTCCTCTTGTTTCTAAGTGCTGTAGCTCAGCATCACCTCCAGAATGGTTTACAGCTTATATGGCTCAGGTAAGTGACTGGTGTTTGTTTGACTGATGAGTCATTCATGTGATAATTGTGATACCTTTGTACTTTATTGAAATATTATGTTTTGCATGAACTTGTAATTTTCATTATTAAAAATTATTGTCAAAGTTCCATTGAAATGATATTCAGGCATATTTAGCAGCTTGCAGCAAACGTTACCATATCAGTAAGGTAATTATATGGATATTGCCTTATCACATATTTCATAAGTTCTTTTTATACCTACTGCTTGAGGTAAAATCCAGGTGAAAATTGTAAATTTGATGCAACTTTATCAGATATAAATTTGAGTGTGACTTCCATGACATAAATGTCCAGTTTGTTTCTGCTGATAGTAAGTTTCCAAATAAATAAAATGAACCAAGGACCCAAGTGAGGGGAAGATCAACCAACTTTTTTACATCATAATGGCTATTATTAATTTCCTGATTAGAAAACATATTTACCACTTTTTATAATTTTAATTGGCCATGCTTGATTTCCGTGAATAATTTATGAGCCCAATAGTGGAAAATTCAGAAGGTAGGTAAACTTTCAATATGGACATTGAATGCACCTTTAAATGATTCATATTATTTTCTTGACATTGTTCAATTTTGAATGTGAAAACAATAATTCTTCATTTGAGTTATGATCAAATAGGTAATGTGCAAAGTAAAACAAATTAATCTTATGCTATTTTTGATTTACCTTCAATATTAAAAAAAAATAGTGTATTAGCAAAAATAAAAATTGTACTTATAAACTTCTATATCCACTGTTTCATAGCTGACTAGATGTTTAGGTTACTTCAAGTTTGCATAATATAGCAGTGATCAATAAAAATCTGAGATATACCTAATAGAAGTTAATGTATGCTAAGGCATTGAAAACACACAAGTTCCATACCACTTGGGTCATCTGGTCATCTCACTATTTATCATTCACCTATTGTACTGTTCATCATATCTTTGTAATTCACTATGAAAGTCAACTTTTTCTTCTTTTCTCCAAGACTAGGCTTGAATACCAAATCTCATTATTAAACACATATAAGTATGTATTTTGTTTTTAAATTTTTATTTAGACCAAGAACTTGAGAAATTCATTGTATTTTATATGTAAAATTGTAAAAACACTAGCTGTTATGTAAACAAACTATTGGTACACACACTAATTGAAAAAAATGTATAGTGTACCACCATGGAAATGTAAAATGAACTGTTTTTAACTTGGTAATAAATAAATTTCAAATTTCAAATAATGAAACTGGGATGTTGTTCAAGGATGCTTAATTGATGTTTTCTTAAGTTTTGGACTTCCAGTATCCTGTGTGAAAAGGGGAGGGGAATGCAAACTGCAAAATTTTTTACCTTTTCAAGGTATTCACTCACTTTCATCTTATGTCAAAAATATATCTAATTTTTTTTGTAGAGCAATAAATCTACTACGGTTTTGATTCTGGAACATTTGTGTAGGTCAATGTATTTTCATTTCATGTAATTTTTCCAAATTTGCTAAAATATGAAAAATATTGCAAAATGCTACTTCATTCCTTCTGTTATATCCAAAATATGATGCATGTTTTGATTGTGGTTCCCTGTTGAAATCACTTACCTTGGACACCAACCCTCCACCCCACCACTACTTCCATTTCACACCCTCACACCTAACCTCAATTCACAAATGCTAAATTTCTTCTCTGATGAAAGCTGGCCATATCAACACCAAGTTGTTATTGATACAAGTTACATTTGAGATCAATATCCTTCCTCCTCCTCCACTATGTCATTATCATTCCAGAGCAGGTGAAAGAAGACATAGCCCTTTCATGGAAATAAATAATATTTGAACATTGAATTCAGGAATAGCGATATTATCATCGGTACCCATTTGTACTCCTTATATTTCTTGTAGAGAAATTTTTTAACCGTTGTTTCTAATTCTGAAAGCTTGTCGTCCTCCTGGATGATTAGTCTGTTATGACGTCTGATCATCATATTTGTCTAATCATCATATTCGTCTTTCAATATGTCAAGTGAGTTGCAGCAGCATTTTCGCAGGAGTGATCTGCTTCCTTGCAGCTGGAAGCAATGCAAGCTCCGGTGCTACTGCACTTGCAGGAAGCAATCTGGAGAAAGCCATCCATTGCAGCATTTCTTGTTGTAAGAACTTTGGCTACTTTTCCTCAAGGCGTGAGTGGTTGTGATACCACGTCAGCACCGTAAGGAATGATGAAAAAGAAAATTTGCAGCACTCACTTGAACAATATTTCCCTCTCTTCAGCAGTGGCTCCATTTTTCACACCAGTAGCAGTTTATGGAGGCACATTGCCAATGACAACCTCTACGACCTATGATAGGTTCTTCTTCTTCCTTGTTTCTTTAACGCCGGCCTTTTTGTGCTACTGAGGCTAATCAATTGTTGCCGAATCCTCTGGTGTTCCAACCAGAGGTAGGGATCTTTAACGAGTCCAACATCCATGGCCTCGGGACCGCCGGCTTAACGTCCCCTCCGAAGGACAGCATATCCGTACCATATCTTGTGCTCATTGATATGGTAGCTGTAGCTATGACTATGCTATTCCGCTACAGATGTACGGGCTTACCCTGCGTTTCCACGAATGGTCACCCATCCAAGAACTAGCCGCGCTTGACACTGCTCAACTTCAGATATCGAACGGCTAGCGTATTAAATTAATTTATTCATCTTCAAAGTTTTTAACAATACAGCACATATTTCTAATATATTTATGTATGACGGATTCGGCATAACTGAGAGTATGCCTGAACGTCCCTCCACTGACGCAGAGGTGGCTAGTGTTGGCCAAGGAATATGAGAGGATATGTGTGGTGTTCGTTGCAATGACCTATCTCCTAGGGCTAGGCCCTTTATACAGGTAATCTCGCTGATGGTACCCATAGGCTGGGGGAGCTGCTCGTGCGCGATCAGAGTGGAAAGGGTTTCTTTGAAGGTGGAGGAAAAATAAAATGGTAAAAAAATAAAAAAAACCTTCTTGTTTGTCTCGGGCAGTTGTGCGCATGTTTTTCCACATGGGCACTTCTGCCCGAGTTCAGTGTCATTTATTGATACTCTGTTATTATCGAGCTTGGGGGGAACGGCTAGTGCCTTACCTGAGAAGGTAGGGCGATTTACACCTATGATAGGTACCGATTATTCACACGATCAGTGACGAAATAGGCGAGTGGATTATTTTTTTCTTATTTCTTGAATAGAATCATCACTCAGATACCTTTCAATTTACCGAGAGTGAAAACTCACGTAACGATTTCGTAAGTAGGGACAAACCGTAGCATAATTGTCATATATGTTGAAATACGATTGAAACTGCAGAAATATTAGTTGTTCAATAATTGATGTACTTTATTGTCGTAATTTTATGAACTTTGCTCTTGTAGGTAACTGCTCTCAAATTTCGTGACGTGTCTATAAACTCTGTGTTTCTAAGATCAATAAAATTATTATTATTATTATTATTCATAAATTCTCAATTTTGTATTGGTTATATTACTAATAATTATACATATTGCTTATAATACATTTGTGTTAATAATAATATTATTATCAATTCATACAAGAGGACATCTAAGGATAAACGTGACAACACGGCGCACGAATTGTGGGCGGTGCCTTGTCAGCTCTCAGCATTTAGCGCATTGTTGCCAAGTCTTCAAAGTCACCATGATATTCTGTTGTGGAGTATAAGAGATATTTAGACATGCTGGTTGCTCGAAAATGTCAATAATGAACTATAATATCATTGCTTACTCATATTATGTTTCATCTCGTGTTTTATTCAAGGACAGGACTCTAATCTTTTTGATGAATTGATTATAATTGGTGACTTGACAACGTTGTTTCATGAGTGGAAATGGAAGATTCTCTGACCAATGACGAAACAGCAGAAAAACTGACGTCACCATTTATTCGACGTATCGCCAAATGGCGGTCATGGCATGGCATGAAAATTTTGCAGTTTGCATCCCCCTCATATCTTTGCACAGGGTCCTAAAGGTCCAAAACTTGAGAAAATGTTGATTAGCCATCCCTGACCAACATCCCAAAGTTTCATCAACTTCTGACCTTTCTCTATCTGAAGCTACCTGTCTACTTGACAATAATTTACACACTTATTCATCTTATTTTTTCTACCAAACATAAAAAAAAATGACAAGGTTCGCGCATTGATAACAAATTGCGAAGTGACACTTTTTTTCAGTTTCCTACCTTGCACAAAACAATGCGCGAAGTAAAACAGTGCGCGAACCTACTTCGCGCATTGTTATGTAAAATATATGAGATATTCATATTTCAACTTTGTGGTCCTCAATCGAGCAAACATCCACGCAGTCATTTATTTCTGAATGTTCAACAATAACTTTGTTTTATCTCTTGGAGCGCACGAAAGGAAATTCCTATTATGTTCGTGGAACATCGTGCGTACCGGGTGATTCACCATAAATGTCCCCCCCCCCCTCTAGCTCACTTATTTTTGAACAGTTTTAAAAATTTGAAAGATAATCTAAAATGATTTTTCTGAAATTTTTTCCCGTTGCATCAAAAAATACAGGGTGCTCGGAACAAACGATCTACAGAGTACTAATTGATTTTTTTTAAATGGAACACCCTGTATTTTATTGTATTTTTAGATTCTTCCTGAAGAGCTGATTTCATCAATGCATCACACTTGGGGTTTAGCGGGAATGATTACAGAGATATAGGGTGTTCAAAATCGAGATTTTTCAACTTTAGGATTTTTTTGTGCCGAATCTATTCATTATTGGTCAAAACGGCTGGGAACATAAATCCCATCCCAACTTTCGATTTACTATCTAGTAAAATTTAATTGGAACATTCACAGGGTGGTTCAAGATTCATAATTCTGGTCACCCTGTATCTGTTCCAATTATTAAATGTCAGTAGATAGTAAATAAAAAGTTAAGATACGGACATGAAAACCGCGTGACCGATAATGAATAGTTTCGTCACAAAAAAAAATCCTAAAGTTAAAAATCTCGATTTTAAACACCCTATATCTCTGTAATCAGTCCCGCTAGACCCCAAGTGTGATACATTGATCGAATAAGCTCTTCAGGGAGAATCTAAAAATAGGGTGTTCCATTTAAAAAAATCAAATAGTACCCTGTAGATCGTTTGTTCCGAGTATCCTGTATTTTCTGATCTAGCGGAAAAAAACTTAATCGAAAATCATTCAAGATGATATTTCAAATTTTAAAATCGGTTCAAAAATAGCTGAGCTAGAGGGGGGACATTTATGGTGAATCACCCTGTACCTAGGGAGGATAGGGGAAGGCCTTTTAAGCCAGTTCAACACTATTTTTTGTATTAAGCTAAGCATATTTTCACTTTAAAACTATATTTTTTGACGTTTGTAGAAAAAATGTTGTTTGCAACTCAAGCGCGAAATACTTTGGTCATCTGGACTATTCAATCAGATCTCGATCACCAAAGTAGCATTTCACGCTCTAGATACAAAAATAACTATTTTAGTTTAAGAAAAACTGGACTGAGGAAATAACAGCCACAATGTCTTGCATTGTTTCTAATATAAAACCGCATACCATAAGCCAGCCTACTTGCTACCATATGCGCAAATCTAAACCAGAAAGTTCCAAAAGGATTCGAAAGCTACCACTACTGACTGGAGAATCTTCTCATGAGTAAGTTACCTTTCAACCTTAAGTACCTGTTGATTTTCATTACCCTTTACCAACAGTTCATGATTGGGACCAGTTTGGTATGATTTTAACCTAATCACTTTTCACAGTCGCCCTTAACCCATACCAATAGGTAAATTAGTCGATTACCTAGGGCCTGGAGTTCAATGGTTACTGACATTATTCTTGCAAAAAAATACATTTTTTTGTAGTGCCATCGTTTTTGTATGAAGATCTAATATATAAAATTCTCCTGTCCCAGTCACGGTGTTAGTGGCCAAACTCCTCCGAAACGGCTCCACCAATTCATGTGAACATTATTGTACGTTTTAAATCGAAAATTCAAGATGACAGTCCAATAATATCGCGTACGAGTTTTTTATTTATGATCAGTTTCCATTAAAAATTTGTATCTGGGGGTTTTTGGGGTCGGAGATTATGAATCTTCCGTCAAAATTCTAAAATTCAAGATGGATCCAATATGGCGGACGATTCAAAGTTTGTATCTGGGGGTTTTCGGGGTCGAAGATTATAATTCTTCCGTCATAATTTTGAAACTCAAGATGGCGGATGCAATATGGCGGACGACTTTTGTAATTATGGTCAGATTCTATCAAATTTGGTAACTGGGGGTTTTCGAGGTCGGAGATTATGATTCCTTCGTCAAAATTAGGAAATTCAAAATGGCAGATCTAATATGGCGGACGAGTTTTCAAATTACGATCAGATTCTATTCAAAATTGGTATCTGGGGGTTTTCAGGGTCTGAGATAATGATTCTTCCATCAAAATCTGGAAATCCAAGATGGCAGATCCAATATGGTGGACGAGTTTTGTAACTATGATCCGATTCCATCAAAAATTTGTATCTGGGAGATTTTGAGGTCGGAGATTATGACTCTTTCATCGAAATTACGAAATTAAAGATAGAGAATTCACGGTGGACGATTTTTGTAATTGTGATCCGATTCTATTCAAAATTTGTATCTGGGGTTTTTCGGGGTCGGAGATTATGATTTTATTCTTCAAAATTGGAAAATTCAGGATGACGGATCCAATATGGCGAAAGAGCGTCGTAATGAATAGTAGTTTGAAAAACTATACTGGAACACACTTTTATGGATAGCCAAACTCGAAGACAAACTGAATAGAAGTAGAAATTTGATAATATAGCTACAAAAACGAGATATAAGATTGTCAAACTAAAAAGAAGTAGAAAATAAAAATAGTTGTTTGAAACACTAATGAAACACCATTTTATGGATAGTCAAAATGAAAGAATATTTTCTAGAAATAAATGTATATAGCATATTGTATGTTGTATTGTATGCACGTATATTGCCGGGTATCAGCTGAATAGTAGTTTGAAAAAATGAAAAGATATAGAGTACCGAACTAAAAAGAAGTAGAAAATGAATAGAATAGTTTGAAAAACTGAATTCCACTTTTATGGATAGCCAAACTAAAACTAAGAAGAAATAAAATAGTAATTTTTTTTTTGTTATATATTTATCCAAACAGAATTTTTCTTGAAATGTGTATGGCAAATAAAACAACGTTTGCCGGGTCAGCTAGTATATCTATAAATTTGGGTACAGTACATTAAATTCATATGAATATGCATATACTCATAACTGTAACTGTTCTCACAACTCCTGAAAATTCATGAGGTGATGCTCATGCCGCCTAGGATCTGGTTGAAGTAGCGAATCAGTAGGTGAGTTCGTATTTACGTCGTAGCGCTCAGATTAGTCTGTATTGTTCGTTTGTTCCAACCGATGAGAGGAGTGGTGAATCACAACCGTTCATAATCTTCAACGTCTTCAAACATAACTTGAAAGTTTTTTCTTAATTATAGTCAATAGAGCAATAGGAGTATTTTGACGGTTTTGTCTATGACAGCGATCATTCCGATTTATGTGTCCACTCCGCGGCCACGTGACTAAAAATCCCTGGCATCTCGGAAACGATTGCCGAACTTCACTACCATCGGCCTCAACAAGGACCTCCTCCACACTATTGATTTTTTCATGGCCATTTTGTGATACTAGTAGTGGTCAAATAAATTCTAGGACCAAGGACATCATCAAGACCCTCAAGATCGAGGGTAAGCTCGAGCGAAAGCTGGAGAAACTCGAACACAAAACTAAGAAGATCAGGGACAAGAAGATGGCGCTCTTCGCGAAGTCCAGCGATAGCGAGGCAGGCCACAGCAGCGGCAGAGGCCACGGCCGCACTCGCAAACACCCGTTGCCGCAGCGCGACGGCGAAGAAAAAGAAGAGGAAATGACTCGCAAACACCTGTTGCCGCAGCGCGACGGCGGAGAAGAAGAGATCACTCGCAAGCACTTGTTGCCGCAGCGCGAACGTGAAGAAAAAGAAGAGGAAATTATTCGCAAACACCTGTTGCCGCAGCGCGATGGTGGAGAAGAGGAGGATGAGATTGCGCAGATGGGTGCTAGTCCGGTGAACACGCAGGAGATAGTGCCGCATATGCTAGGCGGGGAGGTTTACTTGCACCAATGGGAGGTCATCAATACTGGGAAGCTACCATGGACTAAACAAGTGAGTTATACCAGCGAAGATACATTATACACTTTTCTGACGAAATGGAACCTAATATTTGAAAGCATGGCAACCAATATTGTCAACAAATCTTAGATAACAGTCATTCAAATTTGCCTCAAACTTGCGCTGTCAGAAAAGTAATAAAATTTGTGGAAATGTAGCGATTTGAAGAGTCATCTAGTAAAGAAAAATCATCAACCATCTCATTGGTAACGTTACTTTGGGCAAAAAAACTAGTCGAAAATCAAAGTGAAGAATTGATTCAATAATTTTTCCCTATTGTTTCTCTTCTAAAGTATGTGGGTATCCATTATCTTTCTCTATTTTCTTTGAGAGAAGGTTTTGATTTATTGTGGTTTTTAAAATTATATTCTCCCATTGGTTTTCCTTCTAAAGCATGTTAGACACTGTATAAGGCAGTTTTTTTTTTCTCTGCTATCTTCCTATTTGAAGAATAGATTTGGTTTAGATCTTTAAGGGTTTTTCTCAATCATATTTTATTTTTAAATACTAAATAGTCCTATCGTGGGAATAGTAAAATTGCAAAGTATTTTTTTCATTTTCAAATTGTTTTGAAATTATGCTCCTTGGGCAGGAATAGTCTAGTTGTAATTTTTTTTTATTCACACAGTTCTTTTACAGGAATTCTTTTGGTTGACGATCTGTGAGTGTTTTATTGTTTCTCCATGAGAATATCTGTCGAATGTTGGAATTGTTTCTAGTTAAAATGGAACTTGGGAAAAGTTCTTGTTTAAGAAATGAGATGAAAAAATTCATCTTTATATTGATAACATGTTGAGTTGTTTTTTTCCAGACTGCTCTATTATTCACTTGGGGCTCAAAAGCTCTGAAGCCTTTGGATACAATTGTGCCTGTTCCCCATTTGAAACCAGGAGACATTGGAAAGTTATCTGTTCGTTTACAGGTACCAAGTAAGTCTGAAATCATATGGTTTATTTCTGTCATTCATTCATTCATTCATTCATTCATTCATTCCACTTCACAGCACTAGTGCAGTAAAGTATCCCATTAAAAAACTGAAATCAGTGTTGTGATGTTTCACATTACATATTGGTGGTAGATGAAATTTTATACATTTAATTGTTCTTGCTCATGAAAATAGAACTAACGCATGAGGAGCTTCAGCGAGTTGAAAATTGACGAAATTTTCGTACTCAGTTGGGACGTGACAGAGCGGTGGGTAATCTTCTGTGCGCATCTATTCATTATAACGCCATTGTGATTCTCTCCGGGGCTCTTTCCGTACTCTTTTCCATACCTGTCACCGAGCCGCAGTTCCTACTTGTTTCCTGTTGAGCACGTTGACTTACCTTCATTCTTCCCTCTCTAACTTATCGAGAAACTGAATCATTTATCATCTTTCCACTTCAGATGATCATCAAAATAAATGTTGCTATGAAAATGTTTCAAATAATTATGGAATGTCAACAAAACAACAATATTTCGGATTGCCAATATTGATAATGAGATTCCCATATACACATACCTTCCAATATTGATAACGATCTCTGTGACACTGTTGATATGGAACAACTTATACAATGACAGTCTTTCCCCGAACACCACGGACATGTCATTTTCATATGTCTTATACCACCAAGAGAACCTGAAATTAACACTATCAGTTTGGAATTATTATCATTTTCATTTCATATTCAAATCCGACACTGCAGTGCGTGAATCCACACATACAGATTTTGGGGATTTTTTCTCCTTGTTTCTATAAAATAAAAAAAAATATGAGTATTATTTCAATATTTGTGTAGTGAGGACAAATCAAATGATTTGCCCCGAAATGTCACTGCGTTTAACAATTTTCCTATAAGAGAGCCTAAAAGAAAAATTCATTCGATTGTCAGTGACACTTTGGTTTGAAATAGTTTTGGAGAAGAGAAATATAGGTATCAAGTATAATATATATGATTCAGTTTCTGATGAGGGCCTACCTGTTTCCCTATTTGTCTAGTACTCCTTTCTGATCTTTTACTGCCAAAAAAAGCTAGGGATTCAAAGAATTCCTAGACATTTCTCAGTAGCCGGCTCTGGTGTTTTTAGGTACTTTGTTACGTACCGGTTACCGTACTTGCTACCTTGGGTTCGGGAATGTTGTCGAGAAGTTGGCCCTGTTATCCTGCGTCGTATTCGTGCGCAAACGAGGTACACAATTAGTAATCTCAACTTGTAACGATTATAGAAATCGCAACTAGTGACGATTTTGTGTAGTATGGTGCAACCGGCAGAGGAAACATAATACAGAACATCAACATTAGGTAACCCAGATTCTTTCAGAGATATCTGTGAGAATCCACGTTATTTCACGTCAATGCTATTGTATTGTCTCATCGATTGCACCCATCCTGATTTCCGGTCTGTTTCGGTTCTGTCGGCATACCCCCTTCTCTGGCAATGTACTCTAGGGCAAGCACACCACTCCTATCCCTACACCTTCAGTGCTTCTTTCGGGGGTTCTTTCCGTACTCCTTTCCCTATCTGTCACCGAGCCGAAGTTCTTACTTGTTTCCTGTTGACCGCGTTGACTTACCTTCATCCTTCCCTATCTAACTTATCAAGAAACTGAATCATTCATCATCTCTCCACTACAGATGATTATCAAAATAAATTTTGCTATGTAAATGTTTGAAATAATTATGGAACGTCGACAAAACAACAATATTTCTGATTGCCAATTTTGGCAATGAGATTCTGATATACCACATACCTTCCTTTGTTGATAACGATCTCTGTAACACTGTCGAAATGGAACAACTTATTCATATTTCTGATCACACGGATATATAAAAAATGACAGTCTTTCCCCGAACACCACGGACATATCATTTTCATATGTCTCACACCACCAAGAGAACCTGAAATTAACACTATCAGTTTGGAATTATTATCATTATCATTTCATATTCAAATCCGACACTGCAGTGCGTGAATCCACACACATTTCTTATTATTCAGTTCATCCTGTATATTCGATTATTATTTTAAAATTCCATGAATTATAATAAAAATCGACCTGCAACTCTACAAGATGGCGAGTGTGAACTATTTCTGATACATATTTTTAGTACCTGTGTAAACATATAGGTATAGAAAGCTAATTTCAAATATTTTCATCGTTATATGGAAACTTATCAAAGCAAAATACTAGCCTTGTGATAAATACTTCCATATTCATATACAAAAACACTCAGCATTTTGAAAATATACCACTTCCACACACCCAAATGAAATACAATCATAAAACCGAAGATTAGTTAAACTTTTTCCCTTTGAATAAATCAGGTTTTTTTTATATCACCTGGTCGGCCGTACGCGATGAAATCTAGAAGGAGACTGATAATTGGTTTGATTCATCATTCTGATGACTATTCAGTTACGTCATCCTTCCAACCGATTGATTTTCGAACGAGTACGACTAATTCCGATATCGACCTATAACTCAACAAAATTGCGAGTGTTTTTGCAACTCTAATACATATTTTATATTGTTCTTAAAATGTTTGTTCATTTTCATCATTCGGTTGCCCCCTTACGAGCAACCCTCAGAAGTCTTCAAGAGACTTGTGCGAGCAAGGATTGACGGGGTCTTATCTTTTAACGTGTGTTCCCAAACACTTTTTTAGGACATCAGAAATTTTTCTGCGGTCGTGGTGGAAATCGAACCCACCTACCGGCAATCCAACGTGAATAGAACATTGACGACGAGGCTATAGGTATAGGAAGTGAATTTCAAATATTTTCATCGTTATTTGAAAAATTACCAAAGCAAAATACTAGCCATGTGATGATTGCTTCCATATTCATATATAGGAACACTCACCATCTTGAAACAAGAAAACTAAAACTAGTAATATTAAAAAACGTACTTACAGGAAGGCTCGCTTTTCTTTGGAGGATTGGAACTGCCATTCACGAAGTTTAGACATGATGCAAAAATGTTCAAGATTCACTTTTTTGTTAGCGACTTTGAAAAAACTATACTTTACGGTCCACTGTCCGAACCACAACTGCCGGTTTTTCTCTAATACTTTTTCATTTCGGTTTTGGTAGTGGTAATTGATTCAGCATAAAAACTAGTGTATTCACCACGATTAGGAAAAATCCAAAACCAGCAGTTTCTACCCGTCAGCGACTTTACTTGAATAATAATAGGATTGATCTCCGAACTATAATTTCCACTGAATATCGTAATTCTCTACTGATATCCTGTATGCTAAATAATTCTAATAATTGTACTGTTCTTAAATGAAATGGGAATTTCAAAAATTCCCAATAAAATTATTATAATTCCGATTCATTCTTGACAATATGGGATTTCTTATTATTCAGTTCATCCTGTATATTCGATTATTATTTTAAAATTCCATGAATTATAATAAAAATCGACCTGCAACTCTACAAAATGGCGAGTGTGAACTATTTCTGATACATATTTTTAGTACCTGTGTATAAACATATAGGTATAGAAAGCGAATTTCAAATATTTTCATCGTTATATGGAAACTTATCAAAGCAAAATACTAGCCTTGTGATATTCATTTTCAAAAACCCTAAGCATTTTGAAAATATACCACTTCCACACACCCAAATGAAATACAATCATAAAACCGAAGATTAGTTGAACTTTTTCCCTTTGAATAAATCAGGTTTTTTTTTATATCACCTGGTCGGCCGTACGCGATGAAATCTAGAAGGAGACTGATAATTGGTTTGATTCATCATTCTGATGACTATTCAGTTACGTCATCCTTTCAACCGATTGATTTTCGAACGAGTACGACTAATTCCGATATCGGTATAAGGGGTGGGGTGGGGTGAAAAGAAAATATACACTGTCACCCTTTGAGTCTGTATTATATGGGATTTTTTATTATTCAGTTTCGTGCAAATTAGGATATCATTGATAGTTCTTACTTTGGAAATAATTCAAAATGAAGATCAAGATTTTTTGATCCATCGATAGCCGTCATATTAGACATTTTCTGTCGGAAAATACAATGTAATAAGATGTCAATTTGTGAATATAAACGATTTTAAAGTAGCTCATAAATTCATAATCAGCTGAAAGTACATAACCATTGAAAATTTCTTTTATGTGAATCGATCAAACTTCAATACATTTTCATGTGTTGAAATGTTGTAGTCTTGTATTCCTTCAACTTTCTACGAAATGGCGACTGTTCTGTCAATTCTTTTCAACTCATATTATTAATACCCCTGTTTATGTCAATAAAGCGAATTATTTCATCCTTAATAAATAGGAAATTTCGAAAGATGTGTGCTAACTAGCAGAATGGCAAATATTCTCGCAACCTGTTGCCTGTATATTCATTTAGTTTCTATGTATATATAGGTATATACAGTGAATTTGAAATATTTCCGAAATACACCGAAGCAAAATAAGCCATGTGATGAATATTTCCATATTCATATACAGAAACACTCACCATCTTGAAACAAGAAAACTAAAACTAGTAATATTAAAAAACGTACTTACAGGAAGGCTCGCTTTTCTTTGGAGGATTGGAACTGCCACTCACGAAGTTTAGACATGATACAAAAATGTTCAAAATTCACCTTTTTGTCAGCGAATTTATGAGCTACTTTAAAATCGTTTATATTCACAAATTGACATCTTATTATTGTATTTTCTGCCGGTTTTTTCTTTAATACTTTTTCATGTCGGTTTTGGTAGTGGTAATTGATTCAGCATAAAAACTAGTGTATTCACCCCAATTAGGAAAAAACCAAAACCAGCAGTTGCTGCCCGTCAGCGACTTTACTTGAATAATAATAGGATTGAACTCCGAACTATAATTTTCTTTGAATATCGTAATTTTCTACTGATATCCTGTAAGCTTAATGATTCTAATAACTGTACTGTTCTTAAATGAAATGG